GGTACAGCTTTCGCCGACAGTGGTGCTAGTCACTCAATCGCAAGTGAATCCCTCTATCATATTCTGCAGAAACAAGATGCAGTATTTGAAAAGACAACACTACAGGTGTCTTTCGCTGATGGTTTGGTATCTGAAAAAGAGGTACTTCGCACCGAACAAATTATTCTTCTCGAAGGCAGAGAGTTCAAAACTCCGCTCCTTGTGTTGCCTGATGCCAAAAATAACTCGACTCTGTTAGGAATTGACTTTCTTCAAAAAGCTAAAATTGTTTTAAATCTTGCTGAAAATAAGTGGAACTTTTCTGATGAACCTCGAAGAAAGTATAGCTTCGCGAAACCTCATAAATCCCAAGCACTGGAAGAAAACCCAGTTGTTGTAAACGATTGCCAACTACGGGAAAATGAAGGACAACAATTAACTACATCCCAATGGCTTGCAACTGATGCATTGCTTAGCAAATATCACACTGTCTTTAAAGTAGGGGAAGAAGCCATTCCATTAATTGAACATCATATTAACACAAGAAACAGACCTCCTGTTTCAGTCCCTCCGTATCGGATGAGCCCAAGCGAGAAAAAACTGTTGAGAAAGGAACTTGATTCCCTTCTAAAAACAAGGTATCATAAAAGAATCTGAAAACCCCTATGCCTCTCCTGTGGTTCTGATTTCCAAGGCGGATGGAAAAGTACGGTTATGCATTGATTATCGTAACCTAAATGCTCAGACCGTTCCAGACACTTATCCTTTGCCACGTATAGATGATTTGTTGAGTGAAGCAAAACCGACACCTTATATGTCAACTATTGACTTGAGGTCAGGTTATCATCAGGTGAGAGTAGCTGAAGAAGATCAAAATAAGACTGCTTTTGTTTGCCCTTTTGGTACATATAAATTTACCCGAATGCCCTTCGGATTGAGAAATGCTCCTGCCACCTCTTCTAGATTGATAGTTAAGTTCTGTTCTGGACTGAATAATGTGTTTTTTTTTGACATATTTAGATGATATCATCGTGCTATCGTCTAGATTCGAAAAGTATCTTTTTGACTTAAAACAAGTTTTCCAACGTCTATCGTTATTCAAGCTCAATACTGACTGTGAGAAGTGCCACTTCTGTTGTGAAAATGTGAAATATTTAGGCCATTACATTACCAAGGATGCCATCGTCGAAAACTGTTAAGCAAGTGCAATCGTTCGTACAAACTTGTTCCTGGTATCGTCGATATATTCCAAATGTTTCTCATATAGCCAAACCGTTAACGGATTTAACGAAGAAGAAAGCACTGTGGAAGTGGGAAGCACAACAAGGAAATGATATCCAAGAGTTGAAATTCAAATTAATTAGCCCGCCGATTTTTAAGCAATCTGATGTAACGAAGCCTTTTATCATTCGCACAGATGCTAGTAATGTAGCCATTGGACCAGTGTTGCTACAAGGAGAGAAAAATGAAGAACCCTATAGAATATGTCAGCCGCTTGCTGACCTCATCAGATCGAAGCTATTTCACCATAGAAAACAGAAGTCTTAGCAGTAGTATAGGCACTCAACAGATTTAGAGGCTATGTCAAAACCCAGTCTATCTCAATCCCCTCTGATCACCAACCATTGAACTGGCTGATGTCTTTAAAGTTACCAACTGGTAGGCTCGCAAGATGGGCCTTACAAATCCAATCCTACAATCTGACTATCAATTATATTCCTGAATGATTGCTGATCTATTATCTCGTCCTATTTGTGAACACTCAAGTACAGATTCCTGTCAAGTCTGTGGTGTCTCTGTCGAAATGCCTACTATTAGCCCTGCAGAACTACGCCAATCACAGCTGGAAGATGATGATCTTCGGAAGATCATTGAAACTTTTGAGAGTCCAGAGAAGGAGGACTGGAAGAGGCTACATTATGAACAGAGGAGTATTGTACCGATATTTCCCTGATTCGGAAGAGGAAGAAGCTCAACTAGTTATACCTCAAAAAAGACAAGCAGAAATCTTGAAAGAATATCATGATTCGCCAACGGCCGGTCGCTATGGATCTGAAGGAACATTTTATCGAATAGCAAAAAGATACTACTGGGTTGGAATGAGAAATGATATAGCAGATTATGCCAAAAGCTCTCTCGAATGCTGTCGTTATAAAGCCACTAATCAAAAGCCATCTGGCTTACTTCAAACTCCAGTCTATGCTCAACGTTTTGAAGACCTTGTCAATTGATCTTTTCGGTCCCCTTCCTGAAACACCATCTGGTGAAAAATGGATTTTTAAAGGAATCCAAGGCCAGAGAATGTGCCACTATTCTTTTGGAGGAAAAGTCGCCCTTCGATTTGGGTTACCCAGGAAAATAATAAGTGATAATGGTACCCAGTTTACTAGTGCTGTTATGCAACAACTATGCTATATCTTGAACATTGATCAAAGTCTTACTCCTGTCTATCACCCACAATCTAACCCAGTTGAAAAAGAAGAATAGAGATCTGAAACCACGTTTAGCAATACTTGTTGGTAACGACCATCAGTCATGGAAGGATAAACTGCCATTAATAAGGTTTGCTTTGAATACAGCCAAATGTGATTCAACTGGACATTCTGCTGCTTTTCTTCAATTTGCACGAGAGTTACGAACCTTAGATGATGTAAAGCATGATATAAAAGCCGTAATTGAGAACGATAATTTTGTTCCCGAAATTACTCCATATTTGAAACGTTTTGCAAGAAATGTACAACAGGTACGAGAAAGAGTCGAATTGCATCAAGATAAGCAGAAACGATATGCTGACAAAAAACGAAGAGAAACACCGAAATTCGTTCCTGGAGATAAAGTTTGGGTCACCCTCCACCCAATCAGCAAAGGTCCACTGAAGAAAACTGCTAAATTCATGCCCAAGAGAGATGGTCCTTATGTGATAGTGACTACAAGATCTCCAACCACTTATGATATTGCCGATCCTCACGAACCAGACAAAATTCTCGGCAAGTATCATGTTTCAGCCTTGAAACCATATCAAGATCGAAATAAGTTTCAGACCTCAGCTCGTGTAACTCCAGTGGTTCCCTTAAAGAAAGAAGGACGCCCAAAATGTGTAATACCACCCGAATCTGCACCTGTTGCACAAGCTGCTGGCGACGTTAAATCTACTGGTCGTCAAACTCGAGCCCGTCCATCTTGTCCTCCGCCCACTGCACAAAGTAGACAAATGTCAGTTCCTGATTTCTTGCCGAGATGTCTAAGAAATCAGAGGGGGAGGATGTAACAGAACTATTTAACTGTAACCGAACTATTTTATTAAACGCCATCTAGTGGCGAAGAGGAAAAGCGGCAATCGACCTCCAGCCGCGATGATGACAGGTTATCATGTACTCGATGTCTCTGTAATTCTAATGTTTGATGTTCCATTTGGTATATGTTTAATTTTTATGTATATTTTTGTTTGTAACCGTTCCTGTGTGCTCTGTTAATAAATCCTTTTAGAGCTAGCCCATCAGCGGCCGAGCGGTAAAGTCGCTGAATACTGGTAGTTCGGTCCGAGGTTCGAATCCCGCGAACGGGTGGCTGTATGGGCGTTTTCGTGGTTTTACCCATGTTTAACGTGTATACGAGTCAGTTCCCTTAGAAAGTCCTCCACGAAGGCATCCCTTCCCTTAGGCAGACAGCACTAGTGAGCTTTGCTATAATTAAATAAACCAAACTTTTTAGAGCTAGCCGGCATTAGTGTCTATTAAAGAATGGCTACATCACAAAATATCAATTTAGGAAGAGGTTTCTGGTCTTAAGAGATTGAATGACGAGCATTTCTATACAGATTTTGTGGAAATATACATTTTTACTTATATAATACATATATTTTAATATACATTTTTTTTCATAATGGACATCTTATTCACAGAATGCTATACAATTCTTGTTCTAAAAACCACTAACACACTTAATTACTGGCACGTAGCCACAATATCATAGCTTTAACTCGTAATATTATTTGCAATATTTAAAAGAGTTTAATGTTTGTAGTTTGATGAATATCCTGTGTGTTGACCATATTATGATTTTAAAGTAATGAATGGGAGGTATTAATGACGTATTATTAGACTTTGAAAATTTATAAATTGCTTCTGTAAAAAATTCTTTCGGCATACCACCATAACAAAATTATAAATTAAAAACCTAGTAAATTCCAAAAGAATGATACTTTATAGGAAAAATCAACATCGAATTATTTTATTATATTTATTAATCAACCTCTGAATGCAAATTGAAAATGACTTCAAGTGGGGCAAATTTTGAAATTAAGAATTTGAATAAATGAATAAATTTGTCTTACGAAAATTAAACGTTTTAAGTTTTATTTTTTACAGCAAGTAAGAAATTTTCCTAAATATAACTATAGGGATAGGAGGATTATATAAAATGTCAGATTTCGTAATTTTTACAAGATTGAGTATTTTATAAAAAGCGAAAAACGTAAATATTTGCTTCTTTTGAAAGATTTTTGTAACTAGAAGTATATATCTACGACCAACGGTTGAGAAAATAAAGGCCAGGTTAGGAATTTTGTGGACATAGTGTACATACAATAGTAAATGATCCTGTTATTGTGTAGCTCTTAAAAATGTTTATATAAATTAATTTAGTTTTCAAACTATGAGAATTCTTCCATCATCCATGAAAAGCATTTCCTTGTTTAAATTAATAAACAAACTTTCTTAAAAATTTAAGCTAGTAATATAGTGATTAGTACTTTAAACCGCCAAAAATTGCAGTAGATTTCAGATTTTGAAAGAATTATTGATAAAAACACAAAAATATCTTCCACAAATTTCTGGGAAATGTGAACAGATTTATTTGTGAAAATTTGAAAGAAAAATTTTAAACTTTAGAATTATTATAAGTACAACCTTCGATAAAGTAAATCTCTCATCAGATATTAAAGTGAATAATATTTTATGTCTTGCTCGACAAAAGGATTCTATTTACCAATGAAAAAAGTATGAAGAAATTTCTTTTCTGACCTTGTTTCCTTCGTCTTCATGTTTTACATATTCATTGATAAATTCATGTTTTGACGTCTCGAACAAAGGGCAGTTCGGGTTAGACTGGAGATACTGCAAAAAACAAGATTAAGAATAAATAATGTTTTTTTTAGTTATTTTTTATTGAGTTCCCTTATTCTTAAGTTATTATCTGTTCAATGATTTTTAGATTATTTTTATGAATAACTAGCTTCAGAGGAAACAAAACCAATAATTTTACTAATACTCTTTAAAGCTATGGATACACAGTAGTTTATATGTGTAACTTCTCTCTTCTTTCGAAAACGATAGCAATTTTCATCTTTTCTGATCCTGAATGACTATTACTCAGTAAATCTGTGAGCTTAAAACACTATTCTCTGAAAGCTTCTCAACGGAGATTCAAAAACTCTTGCAGAGATATGAGCATGAGAAATCTATTCTGATTTCCTTGTACGAAGTAAAGGAAGTACTGCAAGGCGGTGGTGGCGTGTGGTGTATTTAATTATGGCAAAGCACACTAGGGCTATCTGCCTAAGGGGAGGGATGCCTTCGTGGAGGACTTTCTAACTGAAACTGGCTCGTATACACGTGTAAAGAACGCTCCTGAACTCTACTAGAAAGACCTATGATGCTCTTGACTAGAGAGAACGTCGTTAGCAAACTCCTCACATTACGAGTACTGTAATTCATTTTAACGCCTATTTTAAAGAACTGTGAATGGCAACGACTTAACTGAGGAATACGCATGTGTAAAGAGAGGAGACTTCTGTTGAGACGCCTGTCGGAGAGAGTTTTGGGAAGCTCCGCCAGCGAGCTGAGGTGTGGAGACTTTGTTTGTCGAGTGATGACGAGTACGATCTTCGTTAACCGTCTCTGATCGTGTCACCAGCTCGGATATCTACTAAAGTTTTCTAAATGTATTAATTAAATGTTGTATCTGTGATATGTTGTGTTATTAAAAAGTGATGCATCACCAATACCAGTGTTGATTCCGTTTTCACTGAAGCATCCACGACGTCACAAACAAAAGAAATAAAAAAAATTTGGAGGTTCCACCGAGATTTGTGTGACAAGAGACCAGGTATGTGTTCTCCACAATATTCATTTCCAGGCCTGAAGTGTATAATGTAGTTATTACTTATTCGGGAAATCAATTCCCAAAGCAGAAGTAGCACATCAGTGCATAAGAGTTTTAAACACTCAATGTGTTTGGTTTATATATCTAACAAGATATTTTCCTTTTGTGGTATATTCGGGAAAACATTTTCCCATTAACACGTAGCACATCAGTGCATTTTATAGCACGTCAGTGCATAAGAGTTTTTAAAACAATCAAAGTGTTGCATTTATATATCTAACGAGATATTTTTCTTTTGTATGATAATGGGAAAAATCCATTCCCGTAAATAAACAGCACATCAGTGTATTTATGTTTAACGTTTCGTTATAAATTGGTGTGATAGAATCTGAACTGTTTATTTTGTGTATATGTGAAAGCACATCAGTGCAATATTGCAATTTTCATTTCTAAGTCATTAGAAGAAAATTTATGTTAAATTCTTGTGAAAGAAATAAGTTGTTGAAGATATTAAAAACTTGTTACTTTGGTTTTCTCATGAAAGCACACCAGTGCTGTATTTTAATATGATATGTTTTTTCTGATAAGTAGAATGTTAAATTTTATCATTTCATTGTATAAAAAATTTAAGCTTTGAGCAGTAAAGAAAAGTTCTAATAGTGTTCTGATTTAAACCTGCGCCTATCGAATTTACGTGGTATTTGCGTTGGCCATGTGGTTGCCAGCGGAAGTAGCTGTCATGAAAACGAGAGTTAATTAAAGGTGTTTATATTTATTGGCGCCACTCTGGTTTTTTTTTTTTTCTGTCTGGCTGTACTAAATGAAAAGAATTTGTTATTTTTTTTATACGAAGTATTCAGTAAGGTTGTTTATTCGTTTTATGTTTGAATGGAAATAAATCCACAGTGATTAATGCTTTTATTAACCTTTTATTTTTATTTGCCTAATTTTGTAAGTAAGAAGAAAGTGTTTTTTATATCTCTGATATATTTTTATGTGTATTATTCGTGAATAACTATTTGAGTTCTTAATTTGTTTTGAACAAGAACTTTTGCGAAAATGGCATTTTTGGGGAAAGCTAAGAAAAGGGATCTATTCCTTGTCGCTTCAGAACTTGGGGAAATAGCTTTAGAAGGTATGAAAGTAATAGATTTAAAACATTTAATAACGAATAGTAAAAATTATGAGGAAGAATTTGTTAAAAATTTGTTAGAAAGTATTATGACTGATAGGATAGAAAAGGAAAACTTCGAGAAGGAAGCTAGGGAGAGAGAATTTCAGATACTACAACAAAATAAAGAAATTGAAAAGCAACAGTTAGAACTAGAATGCCTTAAAGCAAAACAGAACACTGAATCTGCTAAACCTGGAGGTGAAACGGTATTTAATCAGAATTTTTTTCAGAAACTAATGCCCAAGTTTAATTTAAAAACTGATGATATCAGTTTATTTCTTAGAACTTTTTGAGAGGCAAGCTAAAGTTCTAAAATTGCCCACGGATCAATGGGTGTCATATCTCATTGGTGTCCTTCCGGTTGAGGTAAATAATATAATTGCTAGGGAACCTGAAGAACAGGCTAGAGATTACCAACATATTAAAGAATTACTACTTAAAAGATTTAAATTAAGTGCGGAGAAGTTTCGGCAACTTCTTGTTAAGACTCAGAAAAATCCGGATTCTACGTGGTACGATTTTTATCACGAAATTAAGACATTTTTAGATGGGTGGCTCAAGGGATTAAAAATCGAAACATTTGAGCAACTCAAGGATTTAATGTTGGTAGATCAGATTAAAAGGCGCACGCCTAATGAGTTTAAGGAACATTTTATAGATGAATGGGCCACGATCACTTCACCAAAACAGTTGGTGGGTAAAATAGAGGAATTTGAAGATGCGAAAAAGACGATGGTTGGGAAAACGAAATTGGGTGAAATGAAAACGATAAATATCAGGTAGACAAATGGGTGTTTTTCAGTCCACTGGTAACGTTTTCAAAAATAGAAAAAAAACCCTCAAGGGTACACAATTTAAAAAAGATGATGATGCACGCAATGTTGGGAAAAAGTCAGGACTCGAATTTTGATAGGAGAAAAAGACTCCAGTGCTATGAATGTGGATCTTTTGACCATTTACGTCCTCAGTGCCCTAATTTTAAAACTCAAAAGGCAGATTTGTATCGGATAAGCGGGAGATCAGAGAAGAATCTGTTAGATCCCTATACATTAAATGGAAGAGTAAATGGTTTTGAAGTACCTATTCTAAGAGATACAGGAGCAACGGTAGATATTATTTGTCAGAAATATGTAGACATAGATTGAATGAAGGGAGAACACGTGTGGGTTCGACATTTGTTGGATGATCATATGACTTGTTTACCTGTTGCTGAAGTAGATATTGAATGCGATTTGGGTACAGTAACCACCAAAGCAGCTGTTATAGGAGACCACTTAGACCAAGGGCGATATATCTTAGGCAACCAGACAGCGGCTCTTCTCAGAGGAACTGAGAAAAATTATTCGTCGTATGTCGGGAATGTTAATGCGGTCGTCGTTACTCGATCTCAAGCACGACAATTTAAAGGAAGCGGAAAATTTAAGTGAGACGAATCAAAATTCTGAGCAGAATGAGTTAGAATTGGAAGAGGAGGACGATGCTCATGAGAGGTCTGAAAACAGAGAGATATTGCCTCCTGTCGACCTTTGTGTCCCCACAAGTCCTGCGAATTCAAATAGACTCAAGTACTTTTATTGATGAACAACAAAAAAGTAAAGAACTTGCGCCTTTATTAGAACTAGTAAAAAGCGGAAGTGAAAACAAGTTATGGGATTAAAAATGGAGGTTTTAGTAAAAAAGAAGGTAAATAAGTTAGGAGGAGAAGAACATTTAATTGTTGTTCCAGAAAACCTCAGAGAGCAAATTAAAAGCAATTTGTCATGAAGGAACTTCAGGTCACTTAGGAGTTCTGAAAACAAAAGACCGGTTACTAAGACATTTTTTCTGGCCAAATTGTTATAAAGACATTGAGGAATTCGTTAAAACATGCGACTCCTGTCAACGTGTAGGAAAAGCAAGTGACAAAAAGAAGGCACCGTTGGTAATAGTACCTGTGATATCGGAAGTCTTTAGTAAGGTTAATGTAGATGCTTGCGGGCCTATGCCTACATCTACTGAAGGTAATAAATATCTTATTACAGTTATGTGCTTAGCATCTAAATATCCTGACGCCGTCCCGGTACCGGATATAACGTCGAAATCTGTTGTAAGTGCACTCTTGCAGGTATTTAGTCGGATGGGTTTTTCCAAGGGAGGTTCAAACTGATCAAGGAAAATCTTTCATGAGTCGCTTAACCGTTGAATTTTTGAAGAGGTTTGGTATAAAAATTTCCAGAAGTTCGGTTTATCCACCCCCAGAGCAATCCTGTAGAAACGGTTCCATAGGTCAATAAAAAGGGTCTTAAAGGTATTATGTATTGAAGCTGCCCCAAATTGGGAAGTACAATTACCTGCCGCTCTCTTTGCCCTACGAACAGTAACGCATGATAGTACATGATAGTACAGGATTTTAGTCCAGCTGAATTAGTGTACGGGACCAACCTCAGAACACCTGTCGCATTATTGTATGAGAAATGGTTAGATCCTCAGGAAAAAGAAGATACCGTAATAGAATATGTTTTCGAATTAATCAATAGGTTAAAGAAAAGTAGAGAATTAGCTACAGAGAAAATGGAAGAGGTGAGAGACAAAAGGAAGAAATTGTATGACAAAAATGCCGTGAAAAAGGGAATTCCAGCAAGGAGATGCTGTATTAGTATTAGCAGTGAACCAACCCCATAAACTCGCTCCTCAATGGAAAGGGCCGGGGAAAAATAGAGAAAAGATTATCAGAAACAAACTATGTGGTTAGTTTTGAAGGGAATCAGGAAGGGAATAAAGTGTATCACATCAATATGTTAAAACCTTATCATAAGAGACCTGAACTTTTGAATATGGTGCTCCTTGACAACGAGGAGA